TGTCCCTATGCCAGTGTACAATCCGACGGCCAATTTGGAGGTGGGTATGGCGTTCACATCGAAAGATGCTGTGCAGGATGCTTTTACAGAAGAGGCGTTGAGGGGCAATTTCGAGTGGAAGGTAAAATATTCTGACAGTAAACAACTACATGTCATATGCAAGCATGATGCAGAGGGTTGTACGTGGCAACTGCGGGCTGCAAATATGAAGAGAAAGGGTGCTTGGGTGATTCGCAAAGCTGAGACGATCCACACATGCTCCTCTTCTATACTTTCCCAAGATCACAGGCAACTAAAAGCAAAGAAGGTTGGGAGAACTATTAAGCACCTTATAGAAGCACAACCAGATATCAAGGTGAAAGCTATCATGGCAGAGGTGAAGGATCGACATTCTTACACGATAAGGTACAAAAAAGCATGGCATGGTAAGCAGAAAGCCATGGCTGAGGTGTATGGTGATTGGGAGGATTCGTATGCTTTACTCCCTAGACTTATGGGAGCAATGGAGGAGTCCAATCCTGGGACTGTTTTCGTCCCAGTATACAACAATGTATGCACTGAGGATCAAGTTCGAGTATAGGATAAGCTGATGTTCCATCGTCTTTTTTGGGCTTTTAAACCATGCATTGACGGTTTTGGGTTCTGCATACCGGTTATTCAGGTATTTTACCAACTAGTTCCGGTTTTAAATGTTGTATTATTTGTTGTTAAGTATATTTCATACTAATTATATCCTAAATTTTTATTCAGGTTGACGGAACTTTCCTTACTGGGAAGTACAGAGGATGTCTTCTAATTGCCACTGGCGTTGATGGAAACAGGCAGATTTTCCCGCTTGCATTTGCATTAGTGGAAGGGGAGAACAGCTTAAGTTGGGCTTGGTTCTTTGACCAACTGCACGAACACGTGACACAGCGGGAAGATATTACGATTATATCCGATCGACATGCGGGGATAAGGAATGCTGTTGGTGGTTTTCCCGACGAGTGGGGGTGGAGATGGAGATGGTGTATTCGACACTGGCTCGCCAATTTCCAACACAAATTTGGGAAGAAGAAAGACATCAAAAATCTACTTTGGAATGCAGGTACTAATGTTTTTCTTATGCGATTTAAGTTTGTGTTTATTAAGCTGATAAGCTGATGTTATTCATCATGTATTGACCAGTTAGTCTTTTGTTCACCTTTGAGCGGTTGCACATCAACCAAAAAAGTACGAGCAGAAGATGAAAACTATCTGTCAGACCCACCGAGCTGGAGCAGTATGGGCTGAAGGTCAAGAGTTGCCCATGTGGACGTTCCATATGGACAACGGGGCCAGATGGGGCATTGCAACTACCAAACATGGAGAAAGTATAAATAATGTGTACATATGGACAACGTTCCATATGGACAACGGGGCCAGATGGGGAATTCCACCTCTTCCTCCTCGTCCTCCACGACGTCCTCGACCCCTTCTTCCCCCCTCCGCCGCTGCTTCTTGGCGGGCTCGCTCAACGGCTGGTCGCGGATTTCTCTTGACCCGAGCCCCAACTGGGGTTACATATGGTGGTGGTGGTGGCTGAGATGGAGCGGTAGCTTGGCGAATGATCGGAGGTTGCGGAGTTTGTTGTTGCGGGGTCTGATACATCGAACTCTGTTGCAGATGTTGGAATTGAGAGAACCCATGAGAGAAAGTGTCCCACTCCTGAGATGCTCCACGACTCGATGACCCTCCACCGGCTTCCACTGTAGGTGCCCACTGGTACTCGAACGGTTCAGGGATCTCGGTTCCTTGAGTTGTACGCACCTCATCAAACGTAGGCAGAGGCCTGCGTTTGCTCCTTCGTGGGGGCTCAACCGGGGGCACAATGGGTGCATCATCACAGAATGAGGGTCGTGACGGGGCAGGAACGGGAGGATAGGCCACGACATCCCTCCTTTGCTCTCTGGTACAACTCAGGAGGTTGTTCATAAGTCGGGTCAACCAAGTAGTCTTCTGCTCATCCATTGTTGGAGCACTTTCGAGAGTGTACTTGGCGTGTTCCAAACCATCAACCTAAGGAAAGCACGCCACATATCAAATTAACTAAACCTTAAAATAAATAGATTTTTGAATGAGGGAGATTAGGATGACTTACCAACGACCCCATCACAGCACCTTGCTTTGACACCCATCTCATGGTGAACTTCCGATACCACTGCATGTACCCATCGTGGTAGCCCATCGGTCTCGTCTCCGGTATCCCTTGCACCACCCATTGGGACCGATTCTCCCAGATGTTGATGTAGAATCCATTGGTTGCTCCATTCGATATTGCCTCAGAGATCGATCGGGTAGGTGCCATTCCACCATGTGCCAGCAGATCAATGGCACCTTGCACAACCACGTCTCGTGATCCAGAGGGTGCCTAAGATGATGCAGCTCAACCACTTCACGTGGATATGGATCCCATATAACCTATATTCATTAAAAAATTCAGAATTAATGACCATTTACATTGACAAAATTTAACTTGTTCAAATATGGACAAAACATGATTACCTGATTCCACCATGGTTTATCTAACTCAGAACGATAAAACAATAACGAATGCTCAGGTTGATGGTCATTCGTATTTGCTCCTATCCACCTTGTAAGTAAAAGTACGGAATCAATTTAGTTGAAATATAGCTAAGCATATAATAAATTAAATTGGTCTAAGTACGTAATAAATAAAATTTAAATTGGGCTAAGTACGAAATAAACTTACTTGACACCGTAGGGGAGATTTTGCAGAAAGTTGAGTTCATCATCGTTTCTCCGGTATGGACGTGGGTCGAGAGGTGCGAACATCGGGAGATGCTCCCATACCCACAGTTGCAGGATGAACATCGCAGCACCAGCTTGCTTTGCCCCAACCTTCGAGCAAGTACACAGCTCCCGGTATACGCCCGCTAGCACGGCCGATCCCCAACTCTTCTCTCCAATTGCATCCCAGTCACCAGTGAGCAATGGCAACCATATGCCTTGAATCCACCGGTTGGACTTGTCGGGGAACAAAAATCCACCCACCAAACCGATGAGGTAGATGCGGGCGTAGCGCTCGACTTGTTCTTCCGGTGTCTCGTCATTGATTTCCACCTCTTGCTGGATGTGAGATACCAGCCACGGGACCGACACTTGCCCCGCATTCAACGGTGGATGCCCCCGTCCTTGAATTGGTGTGGTGGTCGGCATGTCGAAGCCCAAATGATCACGGATGAGCGGCCCCCAACCTCCTTCGGGTTTGGTCGTGGAACCAATGATGGCATCTCCAGATATAGGAAGCCCGGTGAGGATCGCCACGTCTTTGAGGGTGATCGTCATTTCCCCCTCCGGAAGGTGGAATGTATGGGTTTCGGGACGCCATCGTTCCGCCATTGCCGTAAGCAGATCGTTGTCGATCTCGATCCGCAAGAAATGGCGCAACATTCCCAAACCGGTCCTCGCTATATAGGGCTCCAACCTTGGATGCCAAGCGGGCAAGTTATTGGTCCCTTTATGAACCACGGGAACAAGAGATTCCTAAAAAAAATAGGAAAAACATCAATTTATTAGATTAAATAAAGCAAAATAAAACATTAGAAAATAATAAAATAAAGCAAGTCAGTTCATCAAATTACCGGATTGTTATCCCAAATGGCACGGGAGCGATGAGCTTCTTGATCGGTTAAGAGACTCGCATCCCTTGGGCCATAATGGATATACAATCGAGGATCGTATATCTCGGCACCCATCTATAAAAAAGTAATGAAATCAGAGATTGTTTTGATAAAAAAAAAATCAAATTGTTTCGATTAAGAAAAATCATAAACCAAAAACCTACACGAAGATCCTCTTCGTCCATTATTGGCGGAAGCCGGACAGAGGTTCGACGGGTTTAGGTTTGTAAGGGACGGGAACTTAGCGGGACGGGGGCTTTAGGGTCAAACTCTAGTAATTCTTTCTGATGTGGAAGATCGGACTTAGCCGCAACCACAGAGCATACTTAGAACGAGACTAGAGCGGATAAATTGAGGGAGAAAGAAGTGAAATGTTTGTGGTGTGAGTTGAAAGTGAAAGGGGAAGGGTTATTTATAGTTGGGGCAAGGGATCTGCCGAGAATTGAATTCTCCCAGCCTTCACCGCGTCCGTCAGAAACGGTGAAGGCACCGCGTTTCTCGAACACGGTGATGAGGGGCGGATCGAGCGACGTGGCTCAGCGTGAGGCGTCGGATCTGGAAAGAAAACCACGATCCGCGCCTCACCGCATCCAACGGACACGGTGAACGCGCCAGCGACGCGGATCGCTGACGCAAACAAACACGGGTATTCACCGTGTTTGTCTAACGCGGTGAATACCCCGCGTTAGTCCACGTCAGCGCCTTTACCGTGGAAGTCTAAAACGGTGAAGGCTTCACCGTTTTTGTTTAAAACGGTGAGGTATTCACCGTTCTTAACAAACGCGGTGAACCCTTCACCGTTTTAGTTTGAAACGGTGAATACGTCACCGTTTTAGTTTAAAACGGTGAAGTATTCACCGTCTTGGTCAAAAGCGGTGATGACCTTCACCGCTTTTGTCTAAAACGGTGATGCTCAAACATGTGTACTTTTGGAATTTTTTTTATAACTTATGTATTTTGGGAATTTTTTTTAAGAACTAGTGTACTTTGGGATTTTTTCTGTGCTCCACCACATATGATGGTATTCAGTTACTCCCATCTACCATGATGCGACAATACCATTAACTAGTGGAAGAATGGAATTCTATTCAAGCAGGTTTGGCTGCCTCAAGTAATGATTAGCTTGGAGCACCACATGATGAACCTGACCTATACAGAAGAATTTCTGCTTATGTTTAGTGGTTTTAATTTTATGGCTATACTGAAGGAAAATTTCATGAATTCGTTTCAAACAATCATCTATAGTTTGCAATCCATAAAATAAGAAAAAAAAATCATCCCCAATTAAAAAACAAATAATAATTGTTTAAAGTAAATAAATAAATAATGAACGAAAAACTGCAAAACATATTTCGAACTGAGCGTATCATTCATTCAGGAGCAGATCTTGTCGAACCAAAGTGAACAATCATGGAGCCTCACGCTAGCCTTTATGGGATCCGCACATCCCTCTACCAACCTCTTCCTCGCAGCGACAAGGCAGCCCCAGCATTCCGTCTTCCCCAGGGCCACGTCGCAGGTAGCGCCGCCGGTCGCCGATCCGACCTCGGAATCCGGGAAATCGACTGTGTACCTGTAATTGCTGTTTTCCTTCTTGTGTACATTCCTGGTGTCCTGCACTAAGAGTTCCAGCAGACGTGCCACGCTTTTGTCGTAACCATTGTTTTTGGATTTCCCCGTGCAGTTGGCTCCTCTCAGGATGCTTATGTCGGGACCCTTTCTGCACTCGGCAACGGCGGAGAGTGCCACAATAGCCAGAACTGCGGTCGCCGCCGCCAATGTCGACCTGCTGCAATATTTCATTTTCTGCCTGCGCTATAAAACTCAATGCGTACGATATGTTTGAATTGTGTTTCTACTTGTTTGCTTAGTTGGATTTGTTGTAGGATGGGAAATCATAGTCACTCTTGGATCACATTTTATAGTACACTGTCATGTCTCCGCCAGTGCTGCCACAAACATGAATGTTGACACTAGCTGTGTATTATTCGACAGGCAAACCGCAGCGAACCGGACAACAGGTTTCGCTCATGCTTAGAGAGTAATGTTAATCTTATATAAAAAAAGGTGGGGTTTGCCACACAAGATATTAGATCGGATTGAGAAATTCACAATACAAGAAAATAAATAATACGGAGATTTATATGGTTCATTAATACAACTTGTGTTAGTTAGTCCATGAACAAGAGAGTGTCAATTTCAACATACTTAAAGAGATACAAATCACAATAATTGAGAAGGTATATTGTATAATCCAACTTGGAAATGAAAATTCGACAAACTGCCCAAATCAAACAAATGTGTATAAGTCATACTCCAGTCGATGGCAAATAATTTGTCTTCAAGTCATAGCAACACGAAATATATATATTCATAATAGTGTATTCCTAGAGTATACAATAATATCATATTTAAGTCATGAATTAATGGAAGGTTGAGGTATTATATTATGCTCTAATTACTAATGGGTAATTCACATTTTCTAATTCCCGGAACTCAAATACTAAAATCATTTTGATTATAAAAGTAATCAAAAAAAATTATTCATCGAAATACACATAATGATAATATGAGTAATTTTACAATGCTTTAAAGAATTGATACTATAATTTTTTTGTCTTTATGTTCAACTTGAAGTTGTACCTTTAACATAATGTTACAACTTCAGGTTGTACTTATAATCTTTTGTATAAATCTATTTATGGTACAAACTTAAGTTGTACATATTTAAAGGTTCAAATTCTTTTATTGTACAACTTCAATTTGTATTTTTAAGATCATGATACAACTTAAAATTGTACTTTAAAGCACTAATGTTTTAAAGCGTAGTAGAAGTACTCATATGATTGTTTACTAATTAAATGTTGTGCTACTTCATATCATATGAAATAAATGATGCAATGCATACCCGACAGGTTATTAACTTATTATCAATCCAGGTATGTCTTTGGTTGTCATTTTCCCCTCGATCCTTTCACCTATCCCTCAACTAATTTCTTTTTGTCTCAAGTGCTAGTTCAGACAAGAAAACGCATTACACAACGAAATAGGAGGATTAATTAGGGGCGATGATGCTGCAACTCGTATTTACTCCAAATATTTAACATACCGCTGGGATTGGATAGCGTGAAACGGGTTGTCAATCTTGCTTCCCCATGTTGTCGTCTGTTCTCCTTCTTCATCCAGCGGTCAGAGCACATAAAGGGCTTTTTAGTAAGTACCTAATTCTAATAACTTTGAATTAAAACTTAAGGAGAGAATCTGGGAAAGTAATTGTGAGACGTAATTGGGGAAGTGGAACAGGCGGTATTGTCTGAGACTCTTTTCCTTTCATTTCTGGCTTCTCCCTTAATTAGCAAACCAGACTCCTCATCTAGCTACGAAAAATACCAGCGACGCGACCGTCCTCATACAATGGATGACTACATTAGCAATGACGACGACAGAGAATGGTGGGAGCCGAACCTACGTGTATGTTTGGGTTCGGCCTGAACAGTCCCATTGACAAGCAATGACGAGGATATATACGACTATGTAGCTTAGCAGACGGATCTGGAGGAGAATGGCAATGATGTGTGCATGGTTGACGTTGACAACGTTCTGGACGTGGAGGAGACGGTCAACGAAGATTGTCTTGAACTGGCCTCGGCGTGGAGAACAACGACGAGTTCGTGCCGCATTCCGGTGATCGTGTTGATGTCGACGACGGCGTGGACGACAACAATGGTGATAGGGTTAACCTATGCCTTTACGATTTCTGTTGCATTTGTACTTTAGTAGTGGTACTAATATTGTTTTGTGAAAAATGTACTAGTAGTTATGGTTCAAGTTAGCTAGTGGTAGTATTATTGTAGTGGTAGGCTCCTAGTGGTAGTCATCTAGTGCTAGTCATTTAGTAGTAGTTAGTGGTACTTCCCTACTGGTACCGGAATACGGGTAGAGGGTTAAATAGTTCGATTTGCTAATGCATATGTTCTTTAAATACATGTTTGTTATCAAACCATCGTCCCATCAGGCAGTTCAACGTGGAATCACTTGTGTTTCCAGTCCTACCAACATCACTGAAGTTGTACTAGTACTAGTCACATCAAGGTTACTAGTAACATTAATTTGGTACCAGCCTTTAGGGATGGCAATGGGTCGGGTTGGGTCGGGTTTTGCCAAACCCAAACCCAAACCCATGGGTTTATCCGTGAAAAAAACCCGGGGTAAAACCCACTGGGTTTGAAAAACTCAAACCCAACCCGCTGGGTATCCACGGGTTCATGGGTACCTATGGGTTTTTGTCGTAAAAAATTACAATAACAAGTTCCTATCAAATTTAAAACTAAATATCAATCTCTCAATACAAATTATTCATATATAAAACACCATTCTAGAAATTCAAGCAAATCACAAATTAACTATACAAATTGTTCAACACCAATCTAGAAAACTCAAGAAAATTGAAGCAAATCATAAATTATCCATAAATAACATGATTAATTGAAAACTTCTTCCTTTCAGTTAAGTTTCTTCACTCTCCACTCGATAACATCAACTTCGTTCTACACAATTAGAAAGAAAAATTAGACATGTCTCCACAAACATAAATAAGATTAGTTGTTTAGAATATTAAATATACCGAGAAAATTAATTACATGGGTGTGGCCGGGTACCCATGGGTCGGGTTTACCTAAACCCAAACCCAACCAAACCCGATGAATAGTGAACGGGTTTAAACCCAAAACCCGTCAACACTGATTTTACCCGCGTTGACCGGGTTGGGTCGGGTGGGTACCCGTGGGTTCGGGTTTTGTTGCCATCCCTACCAGCCTTATTAATCATACCAATACACCTGTTTTTGTAACAGATTGACTAATGTTTACTAGTAGCATGATTTTGGTACGACAACCATTGATTTCATACCAATAACATTAATTTGGTACCAATTTTGTTGATGGAACTAGTGGAATTAATTTGGACAACGACTTACTATTGTGAATTAGTAATGGATACTAGTACCACTTATTTGGTACCAGTCTTATTAATACTACTAGTAGCACTGGATTTGATTCCAGGGTGAGTACTTGTTGCTTGTATCATGATTTAGGTACCAGTAACATTGATTTGGTACTAGTATAGTTAAACCGGTACCAGTGAATGGTTATCTCTAAAACCACAAGTGCCCAAGTATGTACTTAAAATAAATAGGGAGCACCAAACCAATTGTGCCAATATAATGTAAGCACCAATACTTTGTCCAAGATCAAATTAAAGACAACAAACACCCAAAAAACTTGCTCATGCTTGCAAACGTACATGTATCCATGATTCTTCTACTACTGTGACACTTGAGTATATCCACGTAGTAGTGCCTCGTGCATATCCGTAGCTTTACCATTTATTTCCTCAAGTTGCAAATTACTCGGGTCTTCAATGGTTTTCTAGACCATTTGAGCATACCTAATCCTTAGATAAGTTTGTCCACACCATTCTCTCTTCCAATCGCTCAAAAGTTTCCCTTCCCAAAACTCACAGTAGTTGAAGCAAACGATGCCCCCGTGTGTGTCTTCATGGATGTTAATACATGTCACTTGACGGCAAGGGAAATTTCCCCAGTCGAACTTCAGCTCTCGCGCCACTTCCATGTGCTAAATCAGAAAATTTACCAAATGCTCGACCAAGTGTTTTTAGGAAGGGTGTAAATTTGCCACCGCTGGCATCAAAGAACTTGAACTTCTTGTCTTTCAAGTTAATATAGTACAACACCATTTTGGAGGCAGCAACGTAAGGCAAGAACCACTGTTTAAAAAAAAAAAGAATAAAGCAAAATAAGCGAGAGTGTGAAAATCCGGAATCCACTAGATTCACCTTGTACTGGTAGCATTGGTGAACCAGGACCACTAGGACTTAAATAACATCAATATAGAGTATCGAGAGTAGAGGTTGTTTGAACCATTTCTACCGCAAATCTGTGAGTGAATACCCATCTAGTGATTGACCCAGTGTTGTCGGTTTCCTGTTCAGGTAGTCGGCGTATAAGTCAACAAAATTGGTGGTCATGGCGTTGCCAAATATGGTTGTCTTCGTATCCGCTCTACTTAGGGAAAAATGACTACCGGCAAAAGCGCTCAACAACTTCAGTATCATCCTTAGCATATTGGGACATTCCTGCAACAACACAAGTAGAATGATATCACTACAAGTACTACTAGTAATGTAGAATGTTATTGGTACAATACTACTTAGGGATGGCAACTTTGCCCATACCCATGGGTTTCTTACTATCCAACCCAATTGGGTTGGGTATGAAATCCAAATAGATGGATATGGGTAGAGCTTGATGGGTTTGTACCCATACCCATTTACTTTGGGTTGAGTTGGGTTTATATCAAATGGATTTGGGTTTGTACCCATGCCCAAATACAAATAACAGTTTGGTACCCAAACTTAATAGATATGCATATTTAGTACCTAAATTTAATTTTTTTTGCATATAAGTCCTCAAAATATCGATGGAAAATTACGTTTTGGTACCTAAATTTTTTTGGTCTTATATTTTGGTACCTAAACTTTTCAAGTTTTGCAAATAGGTCCAATTTTTGCATGTGTAGTTAAAACACCCTCAAGTAAATGGATATCCATATCCAACCCATACCCATTTAGATTATGAAAGCCCCAAACCCAAACCCATCTATAACCCCCAAATCCATATGCACTTCACCCATACCCAACCAATTATCAATGGGTCTACTTGGATTTGGGTATAATTACCCATGGGTGGGTAATTTGCCATCCCTAATACTACTACTAATAAGCAAGAATGTTATTGGTACCGATAAGTATGTACTAGTTATGTTTCAGTGTACTACTACAAATCAATCAGTATATGTGCCACTACAAAT